GCATGCCTTGAGCCCATAGGGCACTATAATCAATATTTTCTTTGTTTTTAGTTCCTGAGAACGTGAATCTATCCTGAAAACGGTCAGGGACATTTAGCGCGGCTTGACTATAAGTCAAGTTGGCTGTTTTTTTGGCAGTTTTTCTCGTGACCAGAGTGAAGGGATTCCCTTCATTTGGGTTGGGCTGACCCTTTCGAGAACTGGGCTGGTTCTCTTGAGAGTTGGGCGAACTCTCAACAATTGTAATTTCTGGACATAAGTCCGCCATCTCCATTTCCAAGTTCATATTTGTCAGTCCCAGGGGCCTGGGTGATTGACAGCCGTGCAGTTTAAGCTGGTGAGCGAACCGAGCTTGGTAGGCGCGGAGGGTTGTGTACAGTACGGGACCTGTGACACAACTGATCGAGGTTGAGGCTCATGTTCAAATATATTTATATGTTATACCATACACAAGAGAAGGAAGTATTAGTGATTGAGAACATTTGGTATATTCTTACACAAATCCCACAACTTGTTTAAAGGTAATCTTTGAATAAGATTTGTGATGTACCGGGAGCAGATTAAAGAAAGTACTGTAGGAGGTTTTTTTAGACAATGTTGTTGTTGTCCACTACTGCTCATTGTCTCAACATATTGATAATCCCTCATAGCAGGGGAAGTGGACCAGTCCATTCATTAATTAGGTGTGACCAGCATGGCCCAATTAATTAGTGAGCTAATTTTAACTGCTTTTTGGGAGGTCTGCATTTTGGAGGTCTACGTTATGGGAGGGAAACTCTCTGTCCATCATGTTGTGATAGATTGGTGGAGGATTAACAGTAACAACAATTGCATACATGAGCGGGATAACATGAGTAAGTAATGACAACAGAAGGACAATACTGTTCACCCCCTGTGATATGACGTCACCATGTTGGCTCTATCGCACATGCAAAATGCCACATTGCATGTGCTATAGAGCCAACATGGAGACGGTCATATCACAGGGGGTGTAATAACAAGACCCGTATTACACCCCAGCAGTGCTGATATGGCTTGCCAATGCATTTTGAATGGGCGATCATATCAGCCCGGGTGGTAAGAAATTAGAGTTACGTCCCTTCGTGCATCGCCTGCTCGTCTGCTCAGCTGGCTTTCCCGTGGCAATGACTTCCAAACAAGGTGAACATGTTTTTCATTTACTAGCTCATAAATACATTTAGCAATTTAATGTTATGGTATATTATAAAAAGGTTATTAGAGACTCCCTAACAGCCCGGTGCCGAAGGCTAGAGGGCAGATTTGGTGATAGAGGGTTGATATGAGGTATGATATGAAAAGTACCATGGACTAAAGTCTAAATATATAGAGATGGGTTTGTTTGTTTGTTGTTTAACGCTGCACTCGGCAATATTCCAGCTATAAGACGACGGTCTCTAATAATCGAGTCTGGACCAGACATGTAGTCCATGCAGTGATTGACATCATGAACACCCATCTACGCAATCAGGATACGATGACATGCATAAACCAAGTCGGCAAGCCTGACCACTTACAACAAGCATGGGTTGCTGAAGACAAATTCTGACGCGGATCTTCACAGGGTGTCGTGATGGACGGGCACGAATAGTTCATTGCCGTTTCTTGTCGATTGAGTCCAGATTGCGTCCAGATCTTGCCGAATGCGAACCGTCTTTGTAGGTTTACTGTCCGGTCACTGTTTGATCTCTGTCGGATCGCATTCGGGAGAATCGGGACGCTGTCGGGACAGATTCAGTCGGGTTTTTTACCATGCGGAAGATACAAATCGGATCAGATTCGGATTGAGAACAGGAGAATCGGGAAGAATTCGGCTGAATCGGGACGCTTCCTGAACTACATCTGATTGTTTGTGAATTTTAAGCCACGCATCACCGTCTCTTGATCAGACTTTTGACAAATAGTAATCGGGAATGGTCCTATCAAGGACGACAGTAAAGATCCTGAATTTGTGACTGAGCCCTTATGAAACATTATGAGAGGCCGGGAAGATTCTGTGACATTCTGTAGACATTCTGTAGACCGGAGCAACTAATCTTGTCTAGTTAAAGGTTATTACTCCACCTGGAATGCCGCGATAGTTAAAACTTTATTTGTAGGCAATTGTCTTTTTGCCTATTGGTAGACTTTACGTCACTGTCTAAAAGACAAGTTTCAATTTAACTATATGAACTCTTGTACCTGACCAACTGGAGATTAATATTATCGTCATATGCACATTTCAGGAAAACTTAAGATACCGTTTGTGATAGTTGAAAATATTTATTTAATGATGAATATTACCGCCACGACTCGCTAAATACAATGTTTATCCCTCATACAGGATAGTTACCATCCCCAAAACACAAGGGTAATACCCTTAATGGAAATGTCAAAGAGCGTTTCCAAAACAAGTTATTGTTCTGTGACAATGTTCTTGCCTCGTTCAAATGATGGATTCCGTACATATCGGTACATATCGGTACATATCGAGCTAAGGAACCCATAGAGTAAAGCTGGGACAAGTGTAATCGATTATACCTGTTAAAAGTATACTCAACGATTACCGTTTTTCCAAACATGTCATTACTGTTCAAGACGGCGTTAAACCCTACTCACTTATTTCACTCATTCATGCTGAGCTCTTTTCATTCCGTACTTCCGGTCTAAGCAGGGTTACGACAGTGCTGTGTGAAACTGAGACATGGCGTGCGTGTGCTGGTATTGTTAACTTAAATTGAAATATGAGTCAGCAAACAAAGAAAATGACGTTTGAGGACTAGAATGAAGTTTGCGAGAGCTACCATTTGTCCCAAGCCTGGTGCCTATTAACCACAAATAAACGATGACGGGAGGCAAACGTGGAAGTATTATTAAAGGCTCTGGTCCATTACTGGTGACATTTCGATACATTCCACGGGTCTTCACTTACACGTAACATACATTCCTGAAGACGAGTTAGCAATCATCCCTATCGACAACTGGGACATATTCAAACGCCAGCGGGAGGAATATCAACCTGATTAATATGATGATTGACAGTAAGTAGGGACGTGCGTTGGAGAACAAACAAACTCGTATTTTTTATGCGCATTGTGTGAGTGGCTGCCCTTTTTTGCGAACACCTTGTGTCATCACTGATTTTCAGCGATCATTAATTGTCTTCATTATGTTGACTTTTACCCCCAATTGTATCTGTTCCGGCAGATAATGGAGACTTGTTTTTTTCTGGCGTCCACGTGTACAGCGATGACATTTGCCGGGAAGTAACGAAAGAAGAGAAAGATGAAACTAAATCAGTGTATCCCTGGTGGAGACTTCAAGGAAAGAGTAAAAACATGTTTTTGGAAATTGATAGATCAGATTTAAAAAATGTGAAATTATAGAAAAGCATATTTGCACGTTTTAAGGATTTTATTGTTGAATAGTGACATTTCCGGAGCATGGTCAATAGAAACCGGACGACTATCATAGCAACTGATTTCCTGTCGTTTCTAAATGGATGAACCTATGAAATACAAGAATTAATAACATGGAAGTCCTTCCCGGGGATCACACTGTGGAACAGGGCGGAGACACGACGAATGAGAAGCAGGTTATTATTATTATTAGTAGTAGTAGTAGGCCAGACTGTTTTGTAGTAGTAGTAGTAGGCCAGACTGTTTTGTAGTAGTAGTAGTAGTAGTAGTAGTAGGCCAGACTGTTTTGTAGTAGTAGTAGTAGTAGTAGTAGTAGTAGTAGGCCAGACTGTTTTGTAGTAGTAGTAGTAGTAGTAGTAGTAGTAGTACTGTTTTGTAGTAGTAGTAGTAGTAGTAGTAGTAGTAGTAGAAGTAGTCCAGAGTTTAGAAGTAGTAGTAGTAGTAGTAGTAGTAGTAGTAGTAGGCCAGACTGTTTTGTAGTAGTAGAAGTAGTAGTAGTAGTAGTAGTAGGCCAGACTGTTTTGTAGTAGTAGTAGTAGTAGTAGTAGTAGTAGTAGTAGTAGGCCAGACTGTTTTGTAGTAGTAGTAGTAGTAGTAGTAGTAGTAGTAGTAGGCCAGACTGTTTTGTAGTAGTAGTAGTAGTAGTAGTAGTAGAAGTAGTCCAGAGTTTAGAAGTAGTAGTAGTAGTAGTAGAAGTAGTAGTAGTAGTAGTAGTAGTAGTAGTAGTAAAAGTAGTAGTAGTAGTAGTAGTAGTAGGCCAGACTGTTTTGTAGTAGTAGTAGTAGGCCAGACTGTTTTGTAGTAGTAGTAGTAGTAGTAGGCCAGACTGTTTTGTAGTAGTAGTAGTAGTAGTAGTAGGCCAGACTGTTTTGTAGTAGTAGTAGTAGTAGTAGTAGTAGTAGTAGTAGAAGTAGTCCAGAGTTTAGAAGTAGTAGTAGTAGTAGTAGTAGTAGTAGTAGTAGGCCAGACTGTTTTGTAGTAGTAGTAGTAGTAGTAGAAGTAGTCCAGAGTTTAGAAGTAGTAGTAGTAGTAGTAGTAGTAGGCCAGACTGTTTGGTAGTAGTAGTAGTAGTAGTAGTAGTAGTAGTAGTAGTAGTAGAAGTAGTCCAGAGTTTAGAAGTAGTAGTAGTAGTAGTAGTAGTAGTAGTAGTAGGCCAGACTGTTTTGTAGTAGTAGTAGTAGTAGTAGTAGTAGTAGTAGTAGTAGTAGGCAAGACTGTTTTCGCATTATCATTCTTAAGCGATCAACCACTGTTTTCTAACATGTTTACAAATGCATGTTCTATGTAATGTACCTCTATCCACATTTAAGTCAACCCCTGCAACTTTGTATTAAATTCGGATCAAGAGCAAAAGTGTCGAAAGAATGTAACCATTGCAATACACATTGCTGTGACGATGATTGCCATATTATTTTGCACTGTAAATGTTTTATGTCTGACAGAAATAATTTCTTTTCATGCTTGATTGATAAACTTGATGTTGATGTATATGTGAAAATAGATATGCTTGAAGATATGCTTTCATTCTTTCTCGGTGCGGATGTTCATGATTTGACTGACGAAATTGATTATGATACTTGGGAATACATTACACTGTCACTTTTTATGTAATATGAAGAAATGCCTCATACATATATACCAGACACATATACCTTACTGCTCACAAATTGTACATTGTAAATTGTGTATTCATAGCACTGTATGGCATGCCTTCATTGTACATAGTCAAGTTATCTAAATAATGTATTTGACTATGTAATATCTTAGAAATTCATTCATTCGTTCATCATATTATAGGCCCCGACATACGACAAGGCATGTGATAAATGTCCTTATGTTCATCTTGCACAGTGAGTCAAACGAAACATCCCTTCCGACCATTCCTGGAAGTCTTGAAATAGGTTTTAACTTTAACATGTTTTTGGCAGAATTGTCAAAAACACGTGTTGTGTGTAAAAACGAAGTAATCTCGTGAAAAATACTTTCTTTTTGTCACACTAAGGTTTCAGTTTCATGATTTATCCGTTTTGCTTTGACGTCGTGCATGTCGTCTGTACAGTTCTCGTCGTTGCTGTTGTCGTCGGTGTCAGTCGAGGTGTCGAGTCTGGAGAGATCGACCACTGGGAGATCACTGTCTTGGATCCGTCTCCCCTCCTCCACTGCCTTTATCCTGCTCTGGATGTAGCCCTTCCGGTACACCCTGATCTGGGGGTTGTTGATGAGGGTGTAGAACACGGCCCAGTTGAAGGTGGCTTTATATTTACGGCGTTTGGTTTCTTGTGCCGCCTCCAATTCGGCTTCGTGTCCTTTCATTTCTGTAAATATGATGAAATGAAATGAATGGTTATTGTTAAGAAATAACGACTTGTGATCGCCGTTTATCGTACAATAAAACGCTGCAAAGACAATAAACCATGCGGGGGTCCAGAGTATCTGCCTCAGTGTCGGACAACTCCATTTTATGTACAGGGGGAGGGTGTGGGGGGGGGGGGGGGGGGGGGGGGGGGGGGGGGGGTTAAGTTATTCTGTGTTATTCTCACAATTTTCACGTCGATTATCTGCACATTTTCTCCCAATACTGACTGTCATATTTCTTCGAAGTTTAGGTGCGATCATTGCGTTCATTTGCGATTTCCAGCTACATCGTTTGGGAACAACTCACTCAAGACATTTCCCTCTCAAACATAACGTTTTCCATTCATCAAGATGCGAGCGCACATTCGAATCTCCAGAAATGACGTCACGATGTTTTATCGTGAAACCGACCCCACTTCGTTCTTTGGTTGTTCTTTGCGATTTAGGGCTATCTTATATTTATTATTAGATTCTAACGCGTAGACACAGACACGAACACGGAACCAGTTCAGCCTCATATACATGATCAAGGAAGAGCACAGGAAACCACAGCTCTGGCCTCAGCCTCAGCCTCAGCCTCAGCCTCAGCCTCACATACAGCTACAGTGACACTGACACTGTCACCGAAACTGACATACAAACACAGTGCCATATAGTGTACCTCCTCTACTACTTACGTATACTGATGCCCTGGATGCTGTCTTCCTCATCACCTGCTCCCATGGAACCATTCAGGTCAACGGATTTACTCTCGCCCAGATTCCGGAAGTGCAGGTTCATCAACATGAGGCGGATGAATACAATCATCACCGGGTGTGTGTGTTGGTTCTCCACGTGCATGTAGCCTACATACGCCGCGAAACCTGAACAAAAACACACACACATAATCCTGAGCTCAGATGCAGCAAGAACCCTTTGGAAAACAGAAGGCCTCATGTCTTTCATCCATCAATGAGGTGTATCATTATTTTCATTAGGTTAATACCTGTGTCGGTTATTAGGGCCGTTTAACGCCGCAATAAGCAGACCAAACCGTTATGTGAATGTTCTCCCGTGGTCCCAAGTACAGTGGAACCCCGGAAATCCACACATGGAAATCGTCTGTGATAACACGTTCTTGCACACACGACTCATGGATACGTAATATGACGTGAATCATAAATTTCAAAAAGACGTCCGGAATGTGAGATGTCCAGACTAAGGAGGTTTAACTCTAAAAAAAAAACGAAAAATCATCACCAGTAAATCGCGCCAAGGCAAGGTGTCTGAACTGACGTCAATTTTACAAATACGTCTTGTCCCCTCTTTATGACTCTGACAAAATGCCTTGCAGAAAAGCTTAGAAGTCTTAGTACCAGGATCGAAGAACTGGAATCTCTGGGACAAGGTGCTGTGGTCGAGGCGTGGCATGAACAAGGCCCCCAGGACGATGGCCTTGATGATCCTCATGAGGCAGGACACGAGGCCGAGGAAGATGTTGAAGAAGAACATGAAGTACGTGAAGATGAAGAAGAACCGCCTGAAACAAGGGAGGCAACTCGTGAGTTAATGTTTAAATTTGTACTTATAGCTGAATGTCAAAATAGTATAAGGAAGACATACACACCTGTTGTCTATATACAGCGTATTCCCGCGTTGTTGTAGAAAGAGGAACTTAGCCAAGAGTAGTTGGAGGACGTTCAGCACTACTGTCCACACAACAATCGGCCTGGAGTCAGAGAGAGATGCGACTATCATAAGGACAAAAATCGGAAGAAACATAGTTTGTTCAAAACATTGAAATATTGTTCCCTGGAAATGCTGGTGCTCTTCAAAAGTTTGTTGAAAAGTTACTTCATTGTTCGGTTCCTCCTTTGTTACAGAAATAAAAGCGTGTTTGAAGCATTGTCGAAACATATCTTGTCTCCAACAAAAAGAACACCACACCCCATCCCATCCCACCCAACCCCACCTAACCCAACCAACCCAAACCCACGTCAGAATATTAGATGAACTTTTCAGATGCCCCAACATAAGCTTCTTGTGACACATCTTTAGAGACAAATTTGGCTCAGGTAAATTCTTGCTTACCACAGCTGCAACACGTAGTTAACGAGCCAACTCCACATCCCGCCCCAAGCGATGATGATTGTTAGCACTGAAAGGGGAACGAGGGCGAAAAACTGGATGACAAACCCTGAAACGAAAAACTGTTTGTTACAACCCGAAAACAAAAGCTTCACAACATCTAACTTGGAAACAACAACCTTCTTGTTGCACATTCAGCTGTAACATAGCCCCTGTCTGCTGTGGCGACAGTCACACACACCTAGGGAAGTTGCTAGATAAGCATAATGATAATAGCATCAGGTTATGAAAGGTTCAGAAGATGGTTAACCAGGAGGGTGAGAGGCAGAAGAGTTGCCAGGGTCATGCCCAGTAACGAGATGAGGCCGTTCATTTCGGAGGGAGAGGTTTCCACCTGCAGACAAGATGCATGTTCTGTATCAACACGTCAGGATGGAGAGGAAACTGAAGACTCATGAAGTCATCGATGGGCACTTAGAAGTTGGAGCTACGTGGGAAGACTTGAGAGTTGTTATGCTTCCAATGACTACAAAACCCTGCCCCCATTTTCTCGAAAGGAAAGCCAGTTCTACATCGAAGAAGCCTTTTTTTGATGCGGGCAAAGTATTTAATGTCACTAGCCTTAAATGGTGGGAACCTGTTCATTCCACCCGCAGTAAGACAAATCTAACTATATTGCCAGAGTTGTTGACGGACATGGAAACGATACATATGGATCAGTGAACAGATGAACCGATGCAGAATGAAGTCAAACAGAAAGACATCAAAGTGGCCTTATGCAGTACTAGTTGACTTAAATGTGATGAGCAACAGATTTATAATATCAGGTTATAGAAGGTTCAGAAAATAAGTAACCCCGAGAGGGAGGAAACCAGATGTACGTGCTATACAGCAATATTGTTATCCTAGTTGTTAATGGTGGTGGTTGTGTGATAACCACAGGTGAAAACAACCTCATGAGTGTTTAACAGTTACTGTACAGATCTGTTGTTTGTATTTCACCAGTAACAGTGGGTCAATTCATAATTCATTCAAATGATATGACGTTCACTTAAAGCCAGGAATATAAGGTAGGTGGGAAGCAGAATGCTCATGCTCCCAATAAGCACACAACTATCAGTTATCTCCCTTGCATCACTCACCCCATGCGATGTATCCCACCTGGTACCCGGCAAACCGCATACATCCCAGCTGCAACATAGCGAGAGAGCTTCACTAGACATGGGTTCGTAGTCACGTGGAAAACGAAAACTTCCTCGTCATACTCGTTGCTTATTTAACAATCTCGAGTGGACGCGAGAGATACACAATTTGCAAGGTAACACACTGTTTGTTTGTTTGTTTGTTTGTTGTTTAGCGCCGCAATCAGCAATATTGCAGCTATATGAGAGTGGTTTGGAAATAATTGAGTCTGGACAGAACAATCCAGTGACTGACATCATTAGCAGCGATCAACGCAATTGAGATCGATGACATGCATCAACCAAGTCTGACAAGCATAGTCGCCTTTTACGACAAGCATAGTCACCTTTAACACACTGTAACCATTCAATCCACATTAGGGTCGACTGGTGCAGAGACTTGTTGGCGCTGGAATCCACGCCCTCATTGCAAAATACTCAATTCGTAAAATACTTTTCAATTCTTCCTGTAACGTAACGTTATTCCTCTGATTCAGTATTACCATGAGGCTGGCGTTACTCCTCTCCTCCCTTGGGGGGATGTGGCTGTGATCACCTCGATATAACGCCAGCAGATTGGTTCTGAAACATCGAGAATGAGCTCAGAGGGGAGATTCCCCATATAACTGTTGGTTACAAAACGCCCGGCTCGGATGAAAAAGATCGTAGGGACCCTCGAGGAAGATCATCCTCCCAATCTCGTACATAGATGTATAAACACCTACCTGTAGGAGGAGAGTATATGTAGGATCATCAACAGCCCGATTGCCACCGCTAGGACCGTCGATACGATCAAACTCTCTGAAACAGAATTATCACATGGAAACACAGGTTCTTCGTCCATCTGGAGTTCCAAGCCTTCAACATCACAGCCTAGTCACTGCATTTATATAAGTTTGTTGAGACACTGGCGGCCTAATCGTCTAGTATTGAGTTGCGTCACTTTGGCGTGCCAGAACATATCATCGGTGGTTCGAATCCCGATTCAAACGATTATGTTCTTAGGTTTGTCAGCACCCTACGTGTGCTCGTGGGATTCACCAAAGCGGTAAACGTCGGAGACCTTCGTCACTGCGGGCTTTCATCCCATATCAAGCTGACACCACGTGATATAAGTGATCAAGTTCAGATCAAAGTGAGATTAAACCCACCTAACTCACTCACTTACGTGTCAATGCCGTCACCCAAGTCTTGAGATCGCTCGGATCAAAACGGTCGTCTTCTACTGGCTTGAGGTCATAGGCTTTAAGGCATTTGTCATAAAACGTCACGAAAATCCCCAAGAGCTCAAAGGTGATCTGTGGATAGAAAGCGTAACCATGCTATATGTTGTTTGATTGTTGCAGTCAGCAAGATCCCAGCTACATTTCTGTACATAATCGAATCTGGACCAGGTAAAGCACCGTCGGGGTACGATGTTACACAATCAACCAGGCCATGAAGCATGATCACCCCATACAATTAGGTCAAGTCTTATTAAAAGCAATAGAGTGCTGTAGCCCAAATCTGACCTGAGTGTCCACTTGTATTCTAATCTAGTTAAATTAGGTTTTCGTTGTGTTCACTGGAATTCCTTCATTCTTTTTTTTTATAATTTGGTCACATATTGCTGCATTAGTGTCCCAATGAATGTAAACAATTAAGCCACGCCCAACTAGATGGACTACTTTCACCACGACGAGTCGAGGGAATTCCCTTTCTGCTCACCTGTATCATCATGCACAGTACGTTTTAGGGACATTCATGCATACTCATCCAAGAAATCCAAGAAATGAAACAGCAAACGTGAAGGCTCGCTCGCCAGTTTTGTCTTAGCTAGCCTGGGTTCTACAAATTTTATGTCTTCAGGTTTCATTTCTAACTCGTATTTTTACAGCTGTGTCTTCCCGTCCTCAGGGAACTCGTGTTTAAATCTGGCGGTAACTGGACATTTGAAACAGCCGCTTTCTCAAGGACAGATTAGTTCAGGTTCGTGACAGTCCGACTGTTGCAGACTCTTGCCTTGATTGACAGGTCCTATGAACCTTGTTTGATGCTATTCCCCGTTGATTGGCTCCTGACTTTGTGGCCGTGTGCATAAATTAAACAATCACCTGATTCATGTCACGCCACTGTATGCATTCCTACACCTGGAATGATTGTCATCCTCGTCATTTTTTGTCAGCTTTGATGTATATAATTGTTTTTGATTAAACTATTGCAGATGATATATTGTCGAATTCGTTTTCGAATTCAATGATATGGATTGATATGGATTTTTTGGTTTATTGAGGTATGAATCGAAAAACCGATGTGCAAACATTTCTTAAAATCCGCCACAATCAATCCTTAAATGATAATACATTTTCGACATGACTGTTCTCTATGATAGTGTGGGATTCGACAGTCTTGACCAGCAGCTCAAAAGGATCTGAACAGGATAAGAAAATATGACACTACGAACTAATTTTTCACTATTAAAAGACAATCAAAATGCCGACATCGCTGTCTTCCCAACCTTATCCAAGATGGGCGGGGTAGCTGCCGATGGTGGCTTAATCATTCGCTCGTCACGCCGAAGGACCAGGTTCGATTTCCGATTTGAGTCCAATATTTGATCCCGAATGCTGGTGTCAACCGCCGTGATTTTGTCGGAACAGTGATAAAAGCGGGGTGACACCAAACTCATTTGTGTCAGGTATACCTCAGTCAATACATCTACCATTTCACATGTTCACTGTCGATACAGGTAGTTGCAATACATACTTTACATGTGGTTAAGATTGTCTTTTCATGTCGCCTGTGGAATCCCAGAAAGAACAGAATTGCGGCGTTGTCGTCTTTACAACACAAGCAAGAAGTGTCAATATTTAACAAACCGATGATGTGCGAAACGCGACATTGATCGCTTTGTCGCTTTGAATCGAATTGTCTTTTGTTACCAAAGAGTGATAATGCGAGTCCCTACTAACTGTCGGCGTAAACAAAGGCGACAACGCAACAGTTGTTGCCCAGTTTAATGCCTTTTCTTACATATTTAAGGTAAACAGTTATCCAGATGTCTGAAGCCTTGACTCACCACGTACAGGAGAAACACGCCGATCATGAGAACAGACAGGATACGGGTCGAATACCGGAACCCTGGAACAAGAACAGGAACATTGTTGATGGGTGTGTGTACCACCAGATAGGAGGGTTTACGGTATGACAAGAGTCCAGAATGAGGGACTGCCAACTTTAAGAACTAAAACACGGCATCAAAGTAATTTGGGTGATAGTCAATTTCTTTTTTTCACCTTAGTGAAGCAAAAGATTTTTTTTTTCAAGAATTTCCGGAAACAATATATATCTTTCAATGAACAGCATGTGCACAGCCGGTAGTTTGGTGTTGATATTGTATCTTGACCCCTGCAGATCGATACATACAGTGTGAAAAATACAGTATTCACCTTTTTCATTTTTATAGAGTACCCCGTGTATGGCAGCAAGGAGCCCGGCTTTGATTTTGTCTTTGATTGCTTCCGGTGGACTGGAATCAAGACATGATAAATAATAATAACTTGAAATAAATGTGACCCTATTTAAATCGTCATCAACATATAAGGAAATTTTATTCATCATATAAAATAATCATAAGTTGTGAATATCATAGGAGAATGTACGTAAATAAAGTGTCTGGGTAAATATAAAGTAAGTTATTGGTACCTACGTTGAGGAATGCATTGCAAAACCTAATTATTGTATTTGTTTAAAATGATGCAAATATCAATGAGCCATTGCACAAACAACCATACATGTCCACATTGATGTGACATACCACTGAGTGTACAGTTCTTCAGTTGCATGTGTATGTCACAGTTGTACAGTGAAGTATGGTAAGAAAGTTCCAAATGATGCAGGTCTTAGACGTTTACCAGTTTAGTGGAACACTGGTACTGACAGATCGTGGATTGTAGTTTGGACGAATATGGGATTCGAACTCGATCCTGACTCACGCTTGAGGCGGCTTGACCACACGTGCCCCTATTTTGGTCTGTTGAGTCATGGACACGTGGGAAGGACATGGAACAGGCTGAGTGTTTGATGCAGACAGTCATTGAGCACTTACGAGGGTTTGGTAAAGATGGTAATTGAGCACTTACGGAGGTTAGTTACAGACAGTAAATGAGCGCTTACGGGGGTTTAGGTGCGGGTTTCTTGAAGAGTTTCCGGACGTGCACCCCCTGGTAAGAGTCCCGGATGTAACTCAGAGTCTGGGGAACATCAAGATCGGATTCCTCCGCCACGAAATACTTCTTAGTTTTCAGAGCATAGGCAAACCTGATTGGCAAGCTGACGCTGAGATAGGTCAGACAGAGGAAGTACGGCAGGTTTCGGCCCACTAACAACATTCGAGCTTCCTGAATACAATAGAAAAATATATAATATAATATATATTATAATAATCTTAAGAATGATATTAATGCAACAGTGGTGTATTACGTTTAAAGTGGTTTTGTATTACGTCAACAATTGTTCTGTGTGACAACAATGGGTGTCGATTACGCCATTCGTGGTCCTATATTTCATCAACAATGGCGCCTGTTTTACTTCAACAATGGTTCTGTTCTAAATCAACAGTGGTGTTTTTATTCCGGTCACAAAGTCGTAATGGAAGATAATAACCAGCTTATCTTGAATCATTTGAACCATTAACAAGTCAACACAACGTCGCCTTACCCATCTGACGTCACACTCAAACACTTTGTAGAACTCTATGGCGGTGATGACCCACACGTATAAAGCCCCAAGGCCGTAGCTGAAGATGGACTTAATAGCCAGTGAAGCGAAGACAGGAAAGTAGACAATGCCGTACCATATCATAGAAACTATCACGATCAGTGCTGGAATGCGACTGAAAGGGATTAAATAGAAACGGTCATTGATGCATTACGATCTGACAAGGATACAGATCTAAATAACGAAACCCCGCGTCACTGTTAAAGGAACTGTTTTTGGCCGATTAAGCATCTGGCAAAACTCAATGTTTATAATATATACATCCGAACAAAATACGTAACGTAACCCCTGAGGTAATGAATTATAACTGGTTACTATTCTTAACAACTGTAATGGTAATGGCGCTCCATCTTCAGGATGTGAAATCATGTTTGACGGTGACTTCAGAATCCACCTTGGCATGCACGTGCAGTATTCCACACATGTATTCTCCAAAATTGTGCGTTCAAACATGACATTTGGGTAGTTAAATCCGCTGTCTTGCAATGTGTAATCATTCCCGGAGAACATTGCACGAAGGGGGTATCAGAGGCGCAAAGATGGCAAACGATCGGAATGCATTCCACACGTTTGTCCTTCAGTGCCACCAGGCGGACGTCAGCCGATTTACCATTACCCAGTAATCAGCCCATTGGTGAGAAAACATGGTCAAATCAATGATGTGAAGGATGTTCCACGGTCAGGAAGACCTCCCGTGACGTCCTCGTGTGACGACAAGGCACAGCTTTTATTAGTACGATGACGGCCATTTGCATCGAGCCCTGTCCTGAAGCAGCAATGGCTACCCAATCGACGTCTATCCATCAAAACCGTACGTAACCGCTAGAGGGAAGCAGGGATAGAGTCCAGGGGCGTCATCAACCGTCTCTACTGGCAGATGACCACTAGAGGTTGCATTTGGTATGGTGTTTATCATGATAGGCTTGGACTCTGAGAACCTGACTGAAAATCTATATGTCGGTTGAAAACAGGTCCCTGCTCCATGTCACGCATTACTCGCTACTGACCCTGTGACCTGCGGGTGTTATCTGGGTACGTGGAGGTTTACTCGCTACTGACCCTGTGACCTGCGGGTGTCATCTGAGCACGTGGAGGTTTACTCGCTACTGAACCTGTGACCTGCGGGTGTCATCTGGGCACGTGGAGGTTTACTCGCTACTGACCCTGTGACCTGCGGGTGTCATCTGGGCACGTGGAGGTTTACTCGCTACTGACCCTGTGACCTGCGGGTGTTATCTGGGCACGTGGAGGTTTACTCGCTACTGACCCTGTGACCTGCGTGTGTTATCTGGGCACGTGGAGGGTTCACTCGCTACTGAACCTGTGACCTGCGCGTGTCATCTGGGCACGTGGGGGTTTACTCGCTACTGACCCTGTGACCTGCGTGTGTCATCTGGGCACGTGGGGGTTTACTCGCTACTGACCCTGTGACCTGCGGGTGTCATCTGGGCACATGGGGGTTTACTCGCTACTGAACCTGTGACCTGCGTGTGTCATCTGGGCACGTGGGGGTTTACTCGCTACTGACCCTGTGACCTGCGCGTGTCATCTGGGCACGTGGGGGTTTACTCGCTACTGACCCTGTGACCTGCATGTGTTATCTGGGCACGTGGAGGTTTACTCGCTACTGAACCTGTGACCTGCGCGTGTCATCTGGGCACGTGGAGGTTTACTCGCTACTGACCCTGTGACCTGCGGGTGTCATCTGGGCACGTGGAGGTTTACTCGCTACTGACCCTGTGACCTGCGGGTGTTATCTGGGCACGTGGAGGTTTACTCGCTACTGAACCTGTGACCTGCGGGTGTCATCTGGGCACGTGGAGGTTTACTCGCTACTGACCCTGTGACCTGCGGGTGTTATCTGGGCACGTGGAGGTTTACTCGCTACTGACCCTGTGACCTGCGTGTGTCATCTGGGCACGTGGAGGTTTACTCGCTACTGACCCTGTGACCTGCGGGTGTCATCTGGGTACGTGGAGGTTTACTCGCTACTGACCCTGTGACCTGCGGGTGTTATCTGGGCACGTGGAGGTTTACTCGCTACTGACCCTGTGACCTGCGGTTGTTATCTGGGCACGTGGAGGTTTACTCGCTACTGAACCTGTGACCTGCGTGTGTCATCTGGGCACGTGGAGGTTTACTCGCTACTGACCCTGTGACCTGCGGGTGTTATCTGGGTACGTGGAGGTTTACTCGCTACTGACCCTGTGACCTGCGGGTGTTATCTGGGCACGTGGAGGTTTACTCGCTACTGAACCTGTGACCTGCGTGTGTCATCTGGGCACGTGGAGGTTTACTCGCTACTGACCCTGTGACCTGCGCGTGTCATCTGGGTACGTGGAGGTTTACTCGCTACTGAACCTGTGACCTGCGTGTGTTATCTGGGCACGTGGAGGGTTCACTCGCTACTGACCCTGTGACCTGCGCGTGTCATCTTGGGACTCCAAGTGGCATTTATATCTAGGAACGTAGGAAATTCTGCCAGTTGCGTCCGTGCGTCCATATAGTCAGACTTATTATAGCATGTGACTGTGTCTAGACAAAACGGATACCTGAGGAAAGCAACTGCTGGACAGATAGAAGAGAAACTATGTTCCTGGGGAACTACATCGGTCACAACTCACTGAACAAGCGCAGGTCAGTTATAGTGCATATGTCAATCTAGCAGTAAAATAATTATGCAAAGGTAATAAGAAGCGGAGGTTTCATCACTATGTGAAAAGCATTACCTCCTATACTAATATACATAAGTTGAGTTTGCAGACACCCTCACTTGGTTTTTGGGCCAAGCCAAGTCCTCCTTCAAGATAATATAAAAATGTTTTAAATGAGTAGTCTATTCGTCAGAAGCATCGATGGCATATGATGCGACACAGTCCATAGTGACAGATTAAGTGAGCGACTGAGTTTAAAGCCGCTTTGAACAACAGTATTCATATCACGACGTATCGGCTTAATGTGGAAAAGAGACCTTAGTGAGACAGGTCTTAGACGTTTACCATTTTGGTGAAACACACGAGCACGGGTCCGACAAACCTAGAAACATTATCAGGGCACATCTAGCATTCGAACCCATAATGTTATCATACGACAAGACGCAACATCGAATGACCCTTTTTCCCAATGACTTATTGACCTTGGGATGGTATACGTACTTTTCAAGGCGAGAGGTCCATCGTATCTGAAGGCAAACTTTTGTTCAAAGATAACCTCATATGTAAGGAACGTGGTTGCTCCAAATGCGGCGACGTAGGAAATTCTGCCAGATGTCGTCAGAGCGTCCATGGGGCTATAATAAAAGTCCATATAGTCAGAATGATTACAGCACGTGACTGTGTCTAGACATAACGGATCTCACCTTCATAGAAACTGTATATGATTGAAAACACGTATGAAACGTAATACGCGAATACCCGAGGAAGGCAACTGCTGGACAGATAGAAGAGAAAGCATGAACTAAATCGGTCACAACTCACTGAACCAGGGCTGGTCGGCCACAGAGAAAGTCCACAAACTTCCGTCTTCTCGTCTTCAGCATGGAGAAGGCCAGACTGATCAGTACCTGCAAGGAGGAGAGGTCAACATTGTGTACTGACCTCAACAACAGTGTGTACTGACCTCAACAACAGTGTGTACTGACCTCAACAACAATGTGTACTGACATCAACAACAGTGTGTACTGACCTCAACAACAGTGTATACTGACCTCAACAACAGTGTGTACTGACATCAACAACAGTGTGTACTGACCTCAACAACAGTGTGTACTGACCTCAACAACAGTGTATACTGACCTCAACAACAGTGTGTACTGACCTCAACAACAGTGTGTACTGACCTCAACAACAGTGTATACTGACCTCAACAACAGTGTGTACTGACCTCAACAACAGTGTGTACTGACCTTTACAACAGTGTGTACTGACCTTTACAACAGTGTGTACTGACCTCAACAACAGTGTGAACTGACCTCAACAACAGTGTGTACTGACATCAACAACAGTGTATACTGACCTCAACAACAGTTTGTACTGACATCAACAACAGTGTGTACTGACCTCAACAACAGTGTGTACTGACATCAACAACAGTGTGTACTGACCTCAACAACAGTGTGTACTGACATCAACAACAGTGTGTACTGACCTCAACAACAGTGTGAACTGACCTCAACAACAGTGTGTACTGACATCAACAACAGTGTATACTGACCTCAACAACAGTGTGTACTGACATCAACAACAGTGTATACTGACCTCTACAACAATGTGTACTGACATCAACAACAGTGTGTACTGACCTCAACAACAGTGTGTACTGACCTCAACAACAGTGTGTACTGACATCAACAACAGTGTGTACTGACCTCAACAACATTGTGTACTGACCTCAACAACAGTGTGTACTGACCTCAACAACAGTGTGTACTGACCTCAACAACAGTGTGTACTGACCTCAACAACAGTGTGTAGTGACCTTTACAACAGTGTGTACTGACCTTTACAACAGTGTGTACTGACATCAACAACAGTGTGAACTGACCTCAACAACAGTGTGTACTGACCTCAACAACATTGTGTACTGACCTCAACAACAGTGTGTACTGACCTCAACAACAGTGTATACTGATCTCAACAACAGTAAGTACTGACCTTTACAACAGTGTGTACTGACCTCAACAACAGTGTGTACTGACCTCAACAACAGTGTGTACTGACCTCAACAACAGTGTATACTGACCTCAACAACAGTGTGTACTGACCTCAACAACAGTGTGTACTGACATCAACAACAGTGTATACTGACCTCAACAACAGTGTGTACTGACCTTTACAACAGTGTGTACTGACCTTTACAACAGTGTGTACTGACCTCAACAACAGTGTGTACTGACCTTTACAACAGTGTGTACTGACCTCAACAACAGTGTGTACTGACCTTTACAACAGTGTGTGCTGAACAGTGTATACTGACCTCAACAACAGTAAGTACTGACCACCACAACAGTGTGTACTGACATCAACAACAGTGTGTACTGACCTCAACAACAGTGTATACTGACCTCAACAACAGTGTGTACTGACCTCAACAACAGTGTGTACTGACATCAACAACAGTGTTCTGCCCGCAACAACACTTTATACATAACATGTAAAGATAGGTAGGTGGTAACATTCATCCAGACACGTATGTGCAGGTAGGGCAGGAAAGCCACGTCATGTAAATATATTCATATTGCTCTATCCCTTTATGTTTTGAAGGTGGTCGGGCGATTTAGTTACCAAATAGAAAAAGACAGAAATATGTATAACACTTACAGCTGGGATAATCGTCACCTGATAGAACCTGAAGTGGTCCACTTTGTAGGCGCATGCTGTCCTGTTGGGAACATGATCACAGGATAGTCAATTACATACTGAGATGGAACAACAAAACTTAAAATGTCATTAGATAATCTCTTTGGGTTTCTGCATTTCAATATGATTTACAAAACAAAACAAATTTCTTCATTTTGAAAATTAACAAAGGATACAGTTAAAATAACGGCTATTTTATATGGAAGTATATCTATTAGCCTAATATTTCTTTCCGTTGTATAGATCCCCCTGATTGATACACTGTCAGGATGACACTCACCTGTTGACCTGCGTGCCTTTGACCTCATCACTCTCCAGGAGAGTAAACAGATTGTCGACCTGATGTAAGAATACTGAGCCCATGGTCTTTCACGAACTGCAAACATATCAACATGAAATTCAGTTTTAAAGTGTTAGCAATTTCCAGATTAACATAGGGGATGGGTGGGGTGAAAGTGGGTTTCCCCTCTTGCGGATCTGTTTATGCATATGAATCGGAATTTCTGTTAGGATTGGCAAAGTCAAAACAAGATAATTTGAACTTGAGCTTCAGGAATATCGATGATCTGATATCGTCCAATAACAATCAAATAGCCATATTCCCTTCCTCTGATTTACCCATAAAGGAGTCCAGTGAGACCGTCTCATCTGTTTCATATTTAGATATATGCATACAGATTCAGTGACAAAACACTCTCCACAAGACTGTATGACAAGAGAGATGACTTCAACTTTCCAATAGTCAACTTTCCCTTCGTGTCGAGCAATATTCTAGCAGCTCCATCCTTTGGTGTTTACATGTCACAACTTTTGAGATACAATCGAGCATGCTCTTTCTACCAAGATTTCAAAGAGCGTCATGCGACACTTGCTCAGTTGTGTGATCAAGGTTACAACATTCAAGGCGTCAGTGAGACTTTCAAAAAGTTTTATGGTAGACATGTGGAGGACATTTCCAAATTTGACGTATCAGTGACAAAAATTATGTCCGATGCAATTCTCTATTTTGACTTACCATATGTTCCCATGTTTTTTCAGGTGAACATATGCCGGTGGTCTGTAATTAATCGTGTCTTGGCCAGACAATCCAGTGATTGACATCATAAGCAACGATACGCAGTTGGGATACGCAGTCATGCATCAACCAAGTCAGAGAACCTGACCACCCGATCCCGTTTGTCGCCTCTTACGACAAACATGTTTTGCTGTTGTAACCCGGATCTTCACGGGCGTCGTGATTGCACTGACATTCATTATCGGGCCGGTTAATTACTGCTGCCGCAACATATCTTAGCAATTGTATTGCCTTTTGTCATTGTTTACTTAAAATGAGTACTTCAGTATGATTAGTTATCAATTCGTTGATCATAAGTGGTTATTAACCGGATTAACCTTCCTATTTCAATTAGGAAATCGCCTGGTAACAATTTTACCATGTTTAATTCATTTTTAGTGTGCATCGCATAGTCCTGATTACTACTTTGACTACTGAAATGTGCGTTGTGCTAACGCATCAGGTGCGGTGTACCATCGTTCGATGTTCAGAGTTGCGCCCCTCAGCTGTGTTAGGATCCGATGGTCGTAGATTCGACTCGTGGATGTGATAACTACCTAATACCCGCATCAGTGACGAGGGAGTGATGGTATTTTATAGGGGTGACTATTGGTCTGGAAATCACCATTGCGATAACTATTGATATTGAAAGAAACTATTGCGATAACTATTGATATTGCAAGCAACTATTGCGATAAATAGCGATAGTTTTCAGTGTATCATTTTAGATGGATTTTAGAGTTGAATTAAACCTTGGAACTGAAGTTTCCTTTGAATGTGATAACCATAACAACAAATAAAAAGTAAAGTTTGAGATATGACTGATGTGTTTTTCCTTTACCCTAATAATTTAAGACAAAGAAACTTCCACATTACCGTGTGTAAATAACTACCAATCATGATAAAAAACAAGAACAAATTTGAACAGCATTGCATGTATTTTATTGATATGGTAAGTACAATAGAAACTATCGATATTCCTAACTGAAATCGATAATATTGATCTGAAACTGATTTAATAATCGATTTATTGACTTGAAGTGCATACCAATAACAATATATATATATATATATATATTGATATTTTGATTTATCGTGACACCCCTAGTATTTTATTTTTTCGAGTGCTTCGTTGTTGTGATACATCGAGGATTCCATTGCAGTGTTATGTCTCGGTATAGCGGGATATCAAAGACTTGGTTATGGCGTTATATGGGGAATGTCGTAAAAACAACATAACATAAGTATGTGTATGTTTGTGTAATAAATAGGATTTATGCATCAAAGGCTGAGCTACACAACGAGTCTTGTTAGCTCATACACAAAATTCTTGTATAGCCTCCAAATTATGCAAACTAACTGCAAAACGTTAACACACTTTTAGGTTCAAATGTATGTTAACAGGCTGATTACGTCAAAACTTGTTTTGAGTATAACCTGTGTTAAGTTATTAAGCCTGAGTAGGTTTTTATTGTTGTTTCAAAAAAAATAAAATTGTGTTGACTCTTGGTTTCCTTCGTGAATACCTAGACAGAATTATAATACATGTTATGTATCGTTCAAACCTTCCACCTTCTAGTATCAGTCTACCCGACTAGAGTCTCTGTTAGCGTGAACGATTATTTATAAAGTGAAGGGGAGGTACCCGTTCTTCAAGCTGTGATCACTGAAGCGTGGTGTTTAAAAGTGTTCTTTGTGGGACAAGGTCGATTTGTTCCTTCAGTCAAAGAAAAAGGTCAGGTCGACATACACATGATTGACTTGCGTGTTAATAACATTTATCCTTCATTACTCCCTTCGTGTTGCCCTCATTGCATGAATCATTGTCGTAAAAGCAGCGGTAGTCTTGAAGGCTGGGCTCCAGAACGGCATCTCTACTCGTTAGTGTGTTTCTGATCTCCATCTGATTGTAAATCCCCCTGCGGGACTGATGCCAATCTAATATTTTCAGCAAGGTGTTACCTGAACCTCTGAATGGGGTTCCATTTCTGTGTTGATATCGATTCCAAATTCGAGAGTGCATCTTTGCTGCACGAGGCACAGTAACTGAACGCGGATAGCAAACTCGCTCCAACTTGCACCTGCGTAGCATGCCGCCCACGGTGACGCATCATGTGCCAATAGAGGTCACAACCAAATGGTTCATTGATCGGGTAAAAGACAGAAATTTCCAAAAAGGGTGCTGAAAATGACAAAATGTGCACAATAAGCATGACTTAAGCTGACAAATCACAGAATGCGGGGGCGGTCGGGTAGCCTAGTGGTTAAAACGTTCGCTCTTCAAGTAGAAGATCCGTGTTCGATTCCCGACATGGGAACCATGTGTGAAGCCCATTTGTGGTGTCCCCCGCCGTGATATTGCTGGATTATTGCTAAAAGCGGCGTAAAGCCTCACTCACTCACTCACAGAATGCGGTTGCCAGACTCTTTGGTAAATCTACAAGAGTGATATCCGATTTAGGGAAGGATAATAACAGCTGTGAATAAGATAAGGGCTGGTGGAGGAAAGACTATTCCCTGGCAGAATCGAGGGGTACGCACCATTTCATTGACGAACAGTTTCATTTCTGCACCAGAACTGGCTTAATGGCTGCCACTGGAATCCGACTTTCGATGTCAAGGACACGAAACAGACTGAAACCTGCAGGTTTGACCGGGGCACACAAGCGCCTCGCGCAATAGAGGGCACGGAAGTTTCGAGGTCGTCAACAGCGACATTTGAGAAACTCCATGTTTTCTGGAGCATCGAGGTTCTATATACGCTTTACGGATGCCAGACAACTTGTTTGAGGACAGCGTGGAGAGAGGTACTAGCAGCACGTCAAGAGCACGATAGATACAGTGGTGGATACCTCGGCTGGCATGACATACGACAGGGCGGATCTGATCAGCGTGCAAAGGAACATGGCGTTATGTGGAACAATGGTGGGCCCAGTGCTCATACCATTTCCCAGCGCGTTTCCAGGATGACAACGCAGGTCCTCACAGAGCTCGTGTTGCAGTCGACTGTCTGAGGCAGCAAGGTGGCACGATACTGTCCTGGCCAGCCACATCTCCGGACAGGTCCCGCAACCGATCTCATCGTTCCCAGCATTTGTAACAACTTGGGTAGACCTTGCAAGAACAATGGCGAAAGATACATCGGGATACAATCCGGCGTTTGATATTCAGTTTGCCCAGAAAATGTCGTGACTGCATCGATACTCACGGGCATGGACCAGATATTGACTTTACTATGAAGATTGAATTCCACAACGTCATTTCTCTACACATCATTTCGGAATAAATTTGGGTGTTTCCTTAAACATATATCTAGTATATAAGTCAGTATATATTACATGGAACAATGTACATGCTTGGTCTATCAATCCATAAATGTATCTATTCGGAGTAGTTGCATGTGGTTTATATATTCGTGATTCCTAAACACTGTCCGTACATGCCTTCCAGTATTTAGGTCATCAGGTTCGATTATGGGTTTTCAGAATGCGTGTTTTTTAATGCATGAAAGTATTTGAGGCATGTGGAAATAATACCATGGGGAAACTAAAAATCGGGTTTGCTTGAATTTTTAAAATCTCAGAAACGAACCAAGTTCAGTTATGTCAAAACATTTGATTTTTCAACTTTGTTTTGAAACTTAGTCCCTTGATCCATGGGGCATTTGTCACTAAATGTGGTGACCATAGCCAATTTGTCAAGAATGGAAGCAATTGTCATATGAAGTTTAATGAGAAAATAATATGTGATATGCTGGACTTCCTCGTCATAGATATGTGTACAATTTGAGGGTAAGACATATAGGCAAGACGCAAGCATCACCATGGGCACCAGCAGTGCTCCCCTTCTTGCTGATATGTTTCTTTATGCGCACGAGTCTGCATTTCTGCTCGCATTGGCAACAGAATCAACAGAAATTGGTAAAGTTGAATAACGGCCAATTCCGTTCCACAGATCGACCCACCTTAACTACAGAATAACAGGGACCAGTGAGGCCGCCTCATCTGTCATATTCAGATCTGTGCCTAAAGATTCAGAGTGTAAACACTCTCCACAAGACTGTATGACAAGACGGATGACTTTAACTTTCCAATAGTCATCTGTACCCTTTTGTAGAGGAATATTCCAGCGGCTCCTGCCTTCCGTGTTTACATTTCACAACATTTGAGCTACAACCCAGCATGCTCTCTTTAAAAAAATGTTTGATCAAGGTTACAACATTCAAGGCCTCAGTAGAACTTTCAAAATGTTTTATGATGGACATGTCGAGGACATTTCCAAATTTGACGCATCGGTGACAAAATGTATGTCCGAATCATTCCCTATTGTGACTGGTACATTATGTTCCCGTGTTTTTCAGGTGAACTATTGACTCGCCTTTGCATGTGTTTGTGACGGGTGCCACAGGTAGGACAGGATACGCTCACCTTGTCGCCTGGTATCATCTCTATTTGATAATGGTTCATTAGCTCTGCTGAAGGTGTAGTCGACTCTTCTTTTAACAGTGATTTCTAAATGACTATGAAAATGGTTTTGTCGCTCACATTTATTTGTACTGCGATTTCCATGTGACAAAGACACTTAAGCAAACACTTATTAAATAGACCTATCCTACCTGACTTGAGTTGAGATTTACAGTGATAACAGGTTCATATACATTCTTGGTTGTTTTTCCTATTTAAAAAATGTCAGCGTTAGTCGTACGTATGAAATATTTTATCATTAAGCAGGAAATCTCCTCAGTTCGACGTCCAGGTAGCAGCATCATTGTTTTGTCGGTACACATCACTAGTACTGAAGCTATGGACGTTGTGTGTAGCAGTGTTTGCGCTTCCATATCCATGGTATCAATAACCATCTTAACATGTTAAACAGACATTCACAGAATGAAAACATCACCGTCACAAAATGTAATAGGTTGTAAAATTGCACATCAATTTATATACATGTATATATAAAAAATACATCATTTACGCAAAGTTCATTTCTCCATGCGTGTATGTACATGTATGTTTGACTTACAACAATCATATGACAGTTGTTGTTTAGGCTTGTAAATGTCATATTTACAACAATCGTTTAGTCTTGTAAAGACGTGATTAATAAATACTCACAATCAGGTAACGTTGTAATTATTTTTCAGTGCACTCTTCAGCATTACTGACCATACCTGTAAATATGATGTATATCAACTTATTGACCAGCAGTACCCAACTACGTGTATGGACCAGGCGGTGCTCTATCAGACAGACAGACAGACAGACAGACGTATTTCGCCTATGTGGCCATGGGGCCAATAGTACAATGACATTTTGTTCTAGCAAAATTCGTCGTCGAGCACGACTTGGATATTGCAGCTGAATAGATGTACACATTTGGGTTTTATTAATATTCAATGTATCATCCTTCTTTCAAATATCTTATTAACAAAACCTGCACGTCTGAGAAGAATGTGGCTATTGTAATTATCTTTGTGAAGGATACGTATCATAATAGTGAGGCAGGTAATATAAACTTATATCTTCATATACTGGACATAATAAAAACACATGGTATTCATCATCTTCTTGGTAATATTAGCTGTAAGGACACATCGGAGTTATCGATATCTTTGGAATGTCTGCGTAAAGATAAAGATCTAATAATCATTGAATACATTTCTGGCATTAGTTATCACATGGACTAGGCATGTATATAACGTAGCGACTTTGAACATCTGATATCAGCTGACCAGCCTTGACAATACATATCTTTACATCGTTGTTTAAACATTGTTAAGAACATTATTTTATTTCCAACATCCTGGGATATCCACGCGTATGCAAATCCATGCTACAAAGGAATTTTTCTAACAGCTGAGGCCCAGTTTCTATCCCCAAAGTCATCAAGGCGCTGAAGCATGTACTAGCATCGTCTAGAGTATCGTGTATCTGGCTGTCTGAGCAAACGTATCCAGCATGAGATAACTCTAACAACGATAGTTTACAAATATCGGGTACCTTCCGCATTCTGCTATAATTGCCTTATCTGGTGACCGGCAGCCGACGCCAAGAACAAATTAACATGATTTTGTATGAATTTTCTCAATAATGTGGCGATATAGGTTCCCTAAAGTTCCGCGCCGTACGTCAGTATTGGCTGTATTTTACCATCAAATACCAGCGATTTAACAGGTATATTTCTAAGTTCACTAATAAACTTCTTTGCTGTATACATTGCTTTATCTGCTTGCCTTGAAAGTACTTCACATACTTTTGTAAATAAATTTATTCGAGATTCAATAACTGATATGAATATTTTACTTATATTGTCTAACATGACAATGCCTCATTAGTTATTTGCGTTATCCTTCGATTTATGTAATGGGACAATAAGTCCAATATTCCATGATTCCGGGAACAGACCTGTCTCCAAATATGGTTAAAAAGATGCTTATAGAAGTGTAACGGAGAAGAGGCTTCCTTCACAGCTTCTGTTGGGATGCCGTCATGTGGTGATGTTCCACTTTTCAAATGCTGTATAACATATGCTATTTCACGGTCTGATATTTCCCCACTGACCACTTCATCACAGTTTCTACAGTCATCATAGTCTGAGGTCTGCGACATCTTTATCAAATGAGTGATTTGATTTTACTTGCGGATTTAAAAGTTATCTGAAGTAGACATACCAATCATCAGCAGTGATGGGTGAGGATCCCAACTCACGTCTATAGTAATATTTTTTAATTGTTTTCCAAAACAAAATTTACAATCTTTACTTTTTTGCAGCCTTTACAAGTTCTTCCGAGACAGACATTTCATAATCAATCTTTTTTCTTTTACAAGTTTCTTTAAAAGCTTTTTGGCGTTTAAATACTCACTGCAGTGTTCACGATCTTTCGTAATCCTACACCTGTCTGGAAGGACATATTTTGTTCTATCACATACAGGGGCGGTCGGGTAGCCTAGTGGTTCAAGCGTTCGCTTGTCACGCCGAAGACCCGGGTTCGAATCCCGACATGGGTACAATGTGTGAAGCCCCTTTTCTGGTGTCCCCCGCCGTGATGTTGCTGGAATATTGCTAAAAGCGGCGTAAAACCATACTCACTCACTCTATCACATACATATGTTTCTGTTTCTGTCCCATGGCTCATAATGGAACCATACAATTAAGACAATGAATACAATGTCTTCCTCTCCATTGGTGTATGTAGTCCGGTGTTGTGACAGAAGTGTTCGATAAGAATATGAATATAGTTTGAACATGATTTGTATTCAATGAGACACATCTATAAACTATTTTACTATTTTTTCAGCTGCCCGACCACGGAGAGGAGAAATGCACAATGCGATGCCCTGATTGGATACAGGCATTGTGCGAACGGTTGAGACCACCTCTGAACTTACGTGGGAAGGGAGTAGAGGCGCATAGGAAATATGTCATTTGCACAGCATATCTGAATTTTATGTTCATACAGCTTGGTAATAAAGGCGAAATCACATTTTATGTGTGAGCGCGAGACGTGTCAAGGTGACCCAGAGAGGGACATTATTCGGTTGGCTGGGTAATTTCGATTCACGACGTTAACCTGACATCCAACATATCACGTTTAACATGTGATTGATTCATTGAGAATGTATAGTCGGTTGTTATCCATGATACATTTGTTAGTTTCCTCAATATAATTTGTGTCTTGTACACATGATGCATGAATGTAGATTCATAACAAATCTAGACCACACACACGCTATATTTTTATTCAACAGTTTGAACCAGAATCTGATAAATCTATAAATATATAAAGGGTATTAACCGTTGTTATGCCATGTTTTTGTTTGTTTTAATGCCACTCAGATTTGAAATTGGTTCATGATGGACACGATGTAGTCCTGTAGCGTGGTGGACAACGACCGACACCAACAGACGATGTAGTCCTGTAGCGTGGTGGACGACGACCGACACCAACACACGATGTAGTCCTGTAGCGTGGTGGACAACGAATTAAGACTTTCATGCACCGTATCCTTGAACTACCGAATCACCATACACTACTTACGTGTAGCAACACTGAGGCTACATACATGGTATCTTCACATTTAA